GAAGGGGAAAATCTACTTGTCGATCCAAAACAAAATTGAAAATCGATTTCTTCTTCTCCTTCTCCTAAAACCTACATGCAACTAACCAAATGCCAAAAACCAATCCAAAGAACCCTCCCAATCAAATTTTCCTGAATCAAACAACCAATACCCCCGTAGCAGAGCATCCAAAACCAAAATCTTAATCGAAGCTTGACTAAAATGAAAAAGAGAAAAAGGATGGTGGTTGTTGGAGATCTGGAATCTCTGCAACAGGGGACATGCAAAGAGATGATGGCGAAAAAAAAGATGGCTACGGTTGAGAGGAGAAGATGAACTGCAGGGAGGAAAATGGATATGGTTTACAGTTGAATCGACTGCGGCGAAAGTGATGGGGGTCGAATGAAAAAGAAGCGACGACCGGGAAGGGATTAATCTTGCTCCAAGAAAGGGGTAAAGCTTGAGATGAATAGAAAGGGAAGAGTGGGATTAATCTTCCTACGCTGCTGCTGGATTTGGTGAAGAAGAAGTTAGAAGGGAATGGTTGATACTTGATAGGAAAGAGAAGAAGAGAAAGGGGAGGGTGGGTCTGGGTTTCTCTGCAGAAAGAAGGAAAAGTTAAAAGGGCTAAAAAATCAAAGGGCCCATAAAAATGGAACAATTCAGATTTCCTCCCCCCACCCCCCAGGTAATTCTAATTGACCCCTAACGGAGCAATTGTGATTCCCCCGATCCAGAATGTCTCGTTTTAATTTTGGGTTGCCAAACGAGATAATTTGACACAATTGTCTCATTTTGAGTCAATTGGGTCGAATTGCCCCATCTAAAAGATCCATCCAAACGACCCCTTAGGATTTACTTTTCAGCACCGCTTTACTTCTCGAACTCTTACGTTCTGCAAAACCAGTGGCACCTCAATCTCCTCAACCAACCTCTTCTTCAATAGAACCGTACCTCGCTTCCGAAGTTAGGGTTCTGCGAGAGGTCCGAGGGAATATGATCATAGCTTTTTGGTAGCGACACTACAATCGACATCAACCATCAACAAGCCATTGCCAATTTCTCTCTATTCTTTCATCGATTTTTGTTGTTAGTTCTTCAATCCAAATAAGTGCCCATGATCTTAAAATGCATTAAAGAGTTTGAATCATGGTTTTTTAGCTTCAATTGAGTATTCATGTTTAGAATTGCATGTTAGGGTTCTTGCTCCTTCCATAGCAAACCCTTGCCTATTTGACCACAATTAATTGTTTTTTGAATCTTTGATGATAGTTACTGTGCTTGTCATATTATTTATGGATGCTTATTGTGATTTTAATATTTTCAAATTGTTGAAATTGTTGAGTTTTAGCAAAGGTCATGCTAAAGGTTCTTGAAATATGGAGCTACTTGCATATGATGAAAGTATTTTTTGAAATTTTGATACTTTATGAATTGGTAGTTGGATTAAATATGATTTTACGTGTGTCAACTATTTCAATAATAATGAATTAACCATTTAGGGTTTATGTGAATTATGATCGCCAATACATACTTGACTAGGATTAAATGGTTTATCTAATCTCTATATTTATGAACTTTAGTATTTCCTACCCATATGTGCTTCAATGATTTATGAGATTAGATGAGTATAGCATGAGGTTCCTATTATAATGAATGCTTAGAATTCGAGTCACCCAACTATCCACTGAAACCTGAATTTCTAACTAAGAAGCTTTCTTTGAAAGCTTGCACCAAGATATATGTTGCTACTTTTGCTTTTTCATCTTCAATATTGACCATAGCAGAATTCTCCAGTACCTTAGGCCAGTGGCGGATCCAGAAATTTTTTATAGGGGTGTCCTTGTCCAAAAAATAAAATAAAATAAATAATTCATAATCATAAAATATCTTACTAGTACAAATTTTAGTAAAAGGCCACGACGTGTTTTTCATGTTTTGAAAAAGAATATAAAATCAACTCAGTGTCTATACTGCTCAACAAATATGTATATCCTACTAGACAATAATTCAAGAACTGATCGCATATCCGATTTCTAACCTTGTTCTTGATGTAACTCAAAGTTGAAATTAAAGACTCTTTTAACACTTGCAATGCAACCATAAAATCAATTCAAATTAAGAGTAGCCCGTAATTAGTTTAATTGTTAGATTTTGAAAATTGTCGGGGATAAGGAATAGCATTTTTACTATTACATAGTGTTAAAAAATGAACAACAAATGAGTTGCAAGCTAATAGAGAATATGTTTAATGATACTAATCTCCCAGGTATGAATAACATTGATTATCACTTATATTTAAATCATACATAAACTACTACTGAGAGTAGGATAATCGTTTTTTTCAAATTTTAGCAGTGTCTCGAATTATCAACTATATTATTTTTATTCATACGAAACTACTACCGAAAGTTGAATAATCGTTTTACCAAATTTTAGGGGTGTCCTAAAGCAGCATGTATCCGCCCCTGCCTTAGACTAACCTTCGGCTAGTAGAGCCTCAACTTCTCTAGCCTTTTTTATATATATGAATATTGATCGAGATTTAGGGATCTGAGACCTTTCTTAAGTCTTCTCAGTCTATTTTCAATACTGCTGAAAGGGTCAGAGATAGATGAATGACTAGTCTAGACTGTATGAACCAGACTATGATATTGAGGATGAGATCTCTGAAACTTGAAGTACCTGAAGGGTTTAGGACTTTAGGGTGACTTTTCAACACATGACCATTATTAAGTAAGATCCTCCAAGGATCTGAAACACCAAGGTTGATGGTTTTAGCTGAGTTAGACTTGTAGACATCCAAGCAAAAGTTATTTACTAACACTCCGTCAATGCGCCTAGCAATAGGGTTGTCTTGTTGTTTTTTGTTAGTTTCTTTGCGCATGGTTGTGCGGTTGATATAAATACAATTTTTCTGGTTGCTTTTTTTATTTAAAATTAAATTGATAACAAAAATAACAAAATATTGACTGATTTAGCTTCTTCTATTTTTTTTTGTCGCCACGCCACTAAAATTCGTCCAACTTACCACCACATTTGCTAGCTCACCACGTTTTCAAGCTCTACATGATATAATGGAACTATTAACGGGAATTTAACGATTGGCTCTATTATTTTATATTATCAAAGATTTTACTAATAAATTATATTTACTTAAAAATATCAATGAATTACATTAGAATCTGACTTGGTAGCTTATGTGGAATGCCACTAACAACAATAAATCAATGACTACAATTTTTCAATGTTATGAAAGATTTATCTATCAAATTTTTTTAATAAATTTGACTAATATTTCATCAAAATTAAAATATTTGACTGATTAATTATATTTAACTAAATAAAAAACCCATAACTTTTATTTCTGTGAAATTATTTATCAAAATAATAGTTTTTAATGAATTTGTTTGTTTAATTACATCCATTTAAGCATTACGCCATCTATCAAGATTTCTTTATCCAAACCACGCAAATTTTAAGGTGATGCATTATAATTTATGTATATATATATATATATATATATAGAAAATGTTAGCAGCACTATGCATGAATAGAAAGAAAAGGGAAAGAGTAGAATATCGGTTTAGGGAAGAAGATGAGGTTTTGGTGGGATTATGGATGGATCATGGGTGAAAGGCTAATTCAAAACGACACGTAACTTAGTGCGTATGTGTGTTGCAGCATTTCATTAGCAATGATGTTGTCGCCTTGTCGGCTTGTCGCTTGGTTCCCCCATTGCTTTGTGTCCTTTTATCTATTTATATATTTTCACTAATCGCTAATTAGTCCACCAATTCCATTTCTATTCACATTCAGCTCATCCAATTTTATTTGTAGCACTTTAGTAGTTCTTACGTAATTTAGGAATGGAAAAAAGTAAAACAGCTGGAGCGAAATACTCATTTGATAAGTATTTACGGGAACCATTAACCATTTAGCGAGAATAATATTAGAAAATCTAAACTGTGCAAAGGATGTTATTTCTGGTGGCACGAACATATTATAACATTTGTGACACAAATTATTAGTTGGATGAAACCAGGGTCAACATCTGATCTACACCACATAGCTTAAGAAACGTATCATACCGGTCGGTCCGAAAAGGAAATATCGGATACCAGACCTCAAAAGGTAGGAGGTTTTAGCTGTACGAAACAATGATTGAAAAATAGTACTAGAAGCTGTACCGAAAAAGTCAACGGTATGATATTTAATGACAAAACAATAGTTAAACCGTTTCATACCGCTAAATACAACCTACCGGTTTCGCTTTCGATAAGAGGTTTTTCTGCTTAAATCGCCAGTACAGTACATTTTTGCAATTCTTGGTACGAAACGGTCGAATCACGATTCACCCATAATTTTACTACACAATATTCTTCTACTAACTTTTTTTATATAACTTCTGATACGGTTTCGCAATCATTGCTACACCACCAACTGGAGAAGGGGTTAACAAACAACTATGGAGAAAGGAAAGAAAGGGAGGTGAAAAGTTAGCATTCGGTTATTTTTTCTAAATTGGAGCGTGCATATCAGATTATTGGAAAGTAGGGACCAAAATGGCAATACTTCTTTTAATCGGGAGTGAGCTACCAATACTTTAACTAAAAGTAGTTAACTGCAACTTAAGGCAGAAAGAATTATTGGAAATTATTTCAGGAGGTAATTAAATTAGCAGACCACGCAGGCCTTTCGATTAAAGACGAGACACTCTCGAGAGCGACGCTATGATGGTAGTACCGAAATCCACCGTCGTTGATTAAAAAAGATCAACGGACAAGATTCAACCACCCCTCAAAACCCTTCCACCCAATCATACCTCTCCGTACCATTTTTCATAATAATAATAATAACTTATTAATAATCATTGTTCGGCGGAGTAAATAATAAAGAAAACCGAAACGCGAGAAAAAGCTGAGGAAGAAAAAGCAAGAGTGTTTTTTAAGCCCCCGATTAAAAAGAGAAGTTGAAAATTGTTGATTAAAAAAAAAAAAGTAAATTTCTTTTTTTATGCATAGAGAGCTTCACATCAGACAGCAATTAATCTTTTGTTGCTTTGTGACAAATGGAGGATCCTTAGTCCTCTTTTCCCCAGTTTTTCCTCTCTCTCTTCCTTCCCTATCCGAGTCTCCGTCTCCGTCTCTCTCTCTCTCCGGTCTCTTCTCCGGGAAACAAGTCTTGGTAATCGATCAACGATTCCGGTCAATCTTTTAAGGTAAGAGAGCCGCTAGCTACTTTTCCGTTTTCAACCTAGCTTCCCGGGAGATTCCGCTTCCTTCCGGTAGCTTTTTCCTCTTTCGGATTCCCCGATTTGGCTTTTCGCTTGGCTGGATGGTGTGCTGTGTTTCCTAGCTCTCTTTCTTTCTGTTTGTTTCCCGAGAAAATAGAGGCAAATACGAGATGAGAGTTTCAATTTTTCCTGTAATGTGCTGGTTTTGGTTTCAGTCTAACAGTAGAAGAAGAACGAACTTTCACGAGCTGGATAAGTGAGAGAGCGAAGTTGATTTTCCAATTTTTTTTTTATCGCGAAGTCGGTATTTGTTCTTGCTTGCACGAAATTTTCCTGCATTTTCTTGCCTGCCAAACAGAGCATGCATCATATTGTTTGCTTCTGCTCTTATTTTTTTCCTCTTCCTTTTTAGTTGGGGAAACATTTGCTGGTGGCTCTGTGTGAGTTCTCTCTTGCATATGGCATACGGAAATCATTATCGACTGCAATTAGTTCCAACGTTGAATGCTTCGTACTGCTATCTCGCATATACAATTTTCTCGCTATAAATGCAAATTGTCCTTTCTGTTGTGTGTCTCTTTTTCTCTCGTTCTGGGTCGATATCTTTGATTTTAGTCAGGATATTGGTGATTAACCTGAAACTTTGTTCTTAGATCTATCATCTCCTGTGCCTAGTTACACACTGTGATTTAGTGCTCGCCTAACATTAGTATGAAACCCCTTTGGTGGAAGAAGCGTCATCGTTGGTTGAATTTAACTTTCTGCTGGTCTCTTGCAGGTTGTTAAGCGCGGGGGAATTCTGAGCTTTTTTAATTGCTAAATTCTGATGACTCCGCCACTGCTCGGTGGTGTAGAGGAGGTTGCCAGCAGTGCTTCGCTGCTGGCTTCTTCAACCTCCATAGAAAGCGTATGTCAAAATGGGTCTGCTGAGCTCAAAGAGCGCAACTACATGGGATTGTCTGATTCTTCCTCATCTGGGGATAGCTCCGCAATCTCTGCCGTCACTGGTGAGAGCAAGACTAGTCTGAATCTTAAGGCGACAGAGCTTCGGCTTGGATTACCAGGATCTCAGTCGCCGGAAAGGAACTCAGATCTTTCCTTATTTGCCTCTACTCAGCTTGATGAGAAGCCCCTCTTCCCCATGCATCCAGTGAACGATCATCATGGATCTTCCACGCCCAAGACTTTACTTTTGGGGAATAAAAGAGGGTTCTCTGATGCCATGGATGGCTTCTCAGAGGTGAAAAATCTACTGCTTTTGACTGGATCAGATCCAGCACTCTTTTGTTATTTCACAAATGGGGTGTGATTTCATTGTACTGCTTCTTTTTGATGGGTGCAGGATAAATTTTCTTCTGAATCGAAGGTGAATGAGATGTTAACTCCGAGGCCATCTCAGAACTTGGGGCTGAAACCGGGTTCCATCCTCGAGAACCTGACTTCTCAAACAGCAAAGACGAATGAAGCAGTAGGGCAGAAGCCTGCACAGGAAAGGCCCCATGTGTCGAACAACAACAGGGGCTCTGCAAACAATAGCAGTGCACCTGCTACTAAGTAATCTTCTGTCTTGATTATGATAAGCTTGGGCATGGAACTAGTGTGACTTATACTTATTATCTGGCAGGGCACAAGTTGTGGGTTGGCCACCCATCAGGTCGTTTAGGAAGAACTCACTTGCTACCTTGTCCAAGAATACTGAAGAAGTAGATGGAAAGGTGGGTGCTAGTGCTCTGTATGTCAAAGTCAGCATGGATGGTGCTCCATATCTGAGAAAAGTTGACTTGAGGAACTACTCTGCATATAAGGAACTCTCTTCGGCTCTTGAGAAGATGTTCAGCTGTTTTACCATAGGTTGGCTAAATCATAGTTCAAATTGGATGTGCGACACTTTGAGTTTCAGGACTGATAAGTTCTGCTTCAGAAGAATTTGTTATGATTTTTGATGTTCAAATTTCTTCTGCTGTATCTGTTTTCATAACAGGTCAATGCGGATCCCATGGAACTTCAGGAAGGGAGATGCTGACTGAAAGCAAGTTGAAGGATCTTCTCCATGGTTCAGAATATGTTCTCACCTACGAGGATAAAGATGGAGACTGGATGCTTGTCGGTGATGTTCCATGGGAGTAAGTGCTAATCCGCATTAAATACTTGAACTTAGTTTGGTTGAATGAACAAATATTTTGGGATACTTCATCCTGTTAATAGTATCTAAATGCTCATCTTTCTACGAGCTGTGTGCTATTGAAATACCTAATAATCTAAAGCACTGAATCGGTGACTCTTTCTATTAGAAACATAAGTATTTAAATGATGAGAACATCTGTGATATAGATGTTATAATCATTTCGCTTCCAGTGATAACTATGCCTTACAATTCTACTTCCACTTGTAGTATGAACGACACTTAAAATCTTTTTGCTAAACTGCTAGCAGCAAAAATATAGTGTGGATCATTATCTATGCATGAATGGCTTCTAGGTTTTGTTGGATTCAATTATTTCTGATTAGTGATTATATGACTTAAGCAAGTGTGGCAAGGATTGTTAGCAGAAGAACGAGTGAAAGGGGTCAAGTGAAATACCCAAACCCATGGGTAATAGTCAGCCAACCCAAACTTGGTGGTTTTGTGTATTACCCTAGCCAATTTGGGTACCCTACGAGGTCGAGCTGGGGTGGGTATCCATCGGTTTCAGTAAACCTGTCCTCCATAATCCCTACTTAGATTGTTACAGATTCCTGAAGCAACACTTCCACTGTCCTGATTTCCACAGCAACACTCGGGGTCGACCAATAGCTACTCGTTTCACATTTTTTCTTAGATATTCAGTTTTTGTTTCAGTGAGGGGTTGTCTACTTGAATCATGTGCTTCTATTTGGTGACGAGAACGTACAGAGTGCTGGAACAAATAAGCAATTCTCGACATTGTATCTGTTAAGTTTGTACAGTCATATATTTGCTTTATTACATATATTCTGAATTTGCAACTTTGAGCACTCACTGTTCTTATCCCAACCGAGTCCTCTTTCTTTCTTCATATCATGCTCAATATATTTGTTATGGGAACCAGATATTTGACAGTTTCAAGCTTTCTAATTAATGATTCTTTAATGTTTAGGATGTTTATTGACACCTGCAAGAGGATGAGGATCATGAAGGGTTCTGACGCCATTGGTTTAGGTGCGTTGTGTCATTAAATTTATTTTTTTAATTCAATATATTGCAATCTGAACTGTCGAAGGATAGCAGTGACTAAAGCTATTCTCTTGAGAATTTTGAGTCCTTTAGACACCAGTAGTCCAGTACCACATGTTTTACTGATGCATGAGAGGCATAGGATAGCAGTGAAAGATGCCATCCTTTTAAGAATGAGTAGTCCTCTTAGATATCAGTACCATGGCATCTACTTGTGTTTTGCTGAAAGATTGAGTGTGCCATAGAGAAGACAGAAGTGTAGTAAGAAAATTGTGTTCTAGAATCAAAGGTTGGCTTGCGGAATGATTGAGTTGGCTGTTATTTGCCAATCCATGCAGAATGTCTTTGAAAATCTCAATAGCCTGCTTGATCCATTGCAAGTGTCTCTGGATTTGCCCATCCTCTTTTTTCGATGAGCATTCCCATCTATTTGGTACATTATTATGTCTGCAATATTTGGTTAAACGCCATGGTTCTGCTTTTGGTTTGCTAAGTTATGTTGGAACTCTATTAAAATGCATGTAGTATAATTCTGTTAACGGGTCATTTGATTTGGATCTTGTCCTGGCCAGACAACAGGTAGAGGGTTCTGCCATCAGGACTGGGGAAAATGTTGGTCTGTTTATGCAAAATTGTCCTCTTTTATGGCACTTGCATCTGAGATGCATCCTGATTTCCAATAGCATGATCACTTGAATCATTCATGAGAAGCTCAGTTTATGCCTATTCTGTGTATGCTAAAACTCAGAATTAGTACACGAGCATTATATTCGATAATGAGTTCCCGATGTTTGACTAGGCACTGAGTAAGGAACACATGTGAAATGCTACTAGAGTTATTCGAGTCATGTATCATGTCTGCAAATGTTGACACCAGTGGGGTTATCATGTCATGAATGACGATTAGTATTTGTAGCGGAACTTCAATTCTTCAGTATAACAGAAGTTGCCGTACTTTGATTTGTTTGCCAGCCCCACGGGCGGTAGAGAAGTGCAGGAACAAGAACTAGCCAGCAGCAGCTGCCAGGGGAGCAGGAGGAAGAAGAAGGTGTTGGGATTGGATGGATCGCTGCGGGTAATGGCTTTTTATGTTGCGTTAGTAGTTGGGCGTTTTTAATGTGTATTTTAACTCCGTTTTGTTTGTTAAGTTGGAATTAAGAGGAAAGAAAGAGAAGTGGGTGTTATGGTGTTGTCTGTTGTAGTTGTGCTGTGCTGTGCTGTGCTTTTGCTGTCAAGAAGCCTTGCTTGCTGTCTCCTTGTCAATTGAAAAAGAAAACTCCAATGCACAACTTAAAAATTGTATTTGTGAGATAGCAATTTTATTCTATGTGTGTTTTTCTAAAATAAACAAAGGAAAAAAAAAAAAAAAAGAGTTTGATGAATGAATGAAGTAAACAGGGTTTTTTCCTCCTTTTTTAACAATAAGAAGTGAACAGTTTTGCAATGCATAAGGATCATCCCTTATTGTATAGTGTGTGTGTGTGTGGTTGCTTTGCTTAAAATGCTTTGGAAAACCCAACCCACCAAATGATTGCTATTATGAGACTTGGTCTTGCTTTGCTTTGCTTGTAAAAGAAAGAATATGAATAATTAATGGGGGAAATGAAAGCCAATTACTGTGGATTGGCGGGCAGTCGTGAGCAAGAGATACGGTTGTCGGGAGATAAAAGAACAAAATTGGGGAGGGCCATGTGATGTGATGATGGGCAGCTGAATTGATCTGATGGTGCAGAGGCGAGGGACCTTCTTTATCTCTTGTGCCTCTGCCTTCCCAACCATTATTGGTAGTTTAATCGTGATTCAATCGTTTTCTACCGCTAAAACTGCCTATTGTTTTAGGTTCAGTATATGATATTTCCGATCCGACTGACCGGTAAGATACAGTTTCTCAAACGTGGGTTTTAATCGTAGGAATGGATTGGAAGAAGCTTGGAACATGTAAAGGGGTCTGTAAGACGGTAACATGACAACTCGTGTATTCACCTTTCATTTTACTCATTACTTCCTGCATCGTCCCCCATACCACCGCCATCTCCCTCACAAATCCCGAACCCTCCTTACCCACATCGACGATGACACCTTCTCCACCGCAACTCTCTTCCTTCCTGGGATATCTGAGACTCTTTAGATTCTTATTTATTTTTTCAATCCGGCTTTATCAATTGGTTGCATTTCATGCTCATATGAATCTGCTCCGTTGCTCAGTTACTTTCATTTAGTTATGGATTCTGTCTTCCTAAAGAAGTGTCGAGACCAAGTTTGAAAATTACTTCACATTCTTTGTGGGTCTCTTTCAACAGTTGTTTTACATAAGGTTGTCTATATAGTTTATGATTTTTGGGTTAACCGTAACCGAACTTTAACCATAAGGTTAGTGGTTAATCGCAAACCGCATAAAAGACTCCTTAAATGGGCACGGTTTGTAACATGACATGCTTTGCGGTTAACCACTAACAGTATCGAATAAGAGAAATATGTAGACTTAACCGTTTAAATAATTGCACAAGCTAACCAACCCAATAAAGAATACCACACGAGTTCTCGAAGAGAATGGGTGTCGAAATTTAAAAAAAAAAATATGAGAGAAGCTCTGGCCTCTCTCCTCCGCTTCTGCTGCACGGCCGGCCGCATCATCTTCATCACCCTGGTGACGGTCTTCAAGGCTAGTGCACGTAATCAAGGATCAGACTGGCGAAGATGGCAAACTATTGATCCAGGGAACGTGGCTGTGCTGAATTTTTTCAGCCGGCGATCAGCGACAGAGCGTCGGCTCCCATTCGCGGGCCGAGAGGATGGAACTGCCCCTCGGGACAATAAGACACAAAAGCCTACTGTATGGGTTAGACGCAATGCCAGGAAACGTGCTGCTGGCGATCTTGGTCGGATGGATGGATACAAACGCCGTAAGAAGAACCCCAAGGTGGGCTGGCGATTCCTGATACCATCCTCGTATGATTTGGAGGAGATGACACCCCCCAGCTCGAATGATCTGGGATCTATGGGGACGCCCTCCCGGAATATTGTAGCGGATCCGATGTTTCAAACCCAGGGGGAACCGGAGAAATGCCCGGATCCTCAGTCCAAGTTTGACGTCGCGGCTTTCCAAATGTGGCGAAAGGCCATGGGGCCCTCTGGTCTCCGGCCGGCAAAGTGTTCGCCCACTCCCGCCGGACTTCCCCGGTTGCGGCGGCGATATAAAATCTTGGATAACAAGAAAATTTTAATTCCGAATAAACATCCCTGGTTTTCAGGGATTCAGGAGGATTTCTCCAATATTCTTCACGGTTACAATAACGACCCTAAAATCCCCACTCCCACTCGGACTCTGCCTCTGAGGTCTGTTAAGTGTCCGCCTTCCAGTGGGAACCAAGGGGTTGCCAATCTATTTAATACCCTGCCCTCCCGATTGCAACCCAACGAAACAGAGCCTTGCTCAATTGCAGTTGCGGTGGATTGGGTGGCACTCTCCTTCCAAAGAAGGCGACGAGGGAAAGAAGGCGTTCTTCCAGGTAATCCCTCATTGAGGTGTTCTGCTCTTAGCACTGTTCGTACACCGCTGCCTCGAATAGCGCCTCTCTTCATCCCGTCTTTTACTTTTCATCCTGCTGTATTGATAGCTCCGTCGAGTGGCCTACCGCTACTTGTGACTAACCCACAGGTGCGAGAGATGGCGCGTATCAATGAGGATCAGGTGGTGCAATTCTCTCTAGAAGAGGTTCAATCCACGCGGTTCCGAGCATCGCGTACCCTATTGGGGAGGGTGTTTTCGAGTGCCAGAGTCACACCGATGGAACTAAGGGCAGGAGTGAACACACCATGGATGGGGAGGGGGCAGATTCGAGTGACGCAGTCCAAGCATGGGCTCTTTGAGTTCGTGTTGCCCTCTGAGGAAGCCAAAATCTGGGTCTTGAAGCGCTCCCCTTGGGTAGTGAATGACAAACTCCTCGTCCTGAGATCGTGGCTCCCAAATATTACGAGGACCATCTTTGACGATCTGGCTACAGCACCCTTCCGCGTACAAATATGGGGAGTGACCGAGGATTGCTGCACCAAACAATTTGGCCAAAAGATGATCTCCACTGCTATTGGCCAGGTCCTCGAGTCTGACGTCTTCGCCTGCAAAGAAACGGGTGAACGCTTTCTCAAAGTTAGGACGATGATTGATTTCACGAAATCACTATGATCCCAGCTCCTGGCAATCTGTGAGGAAACAGGGAACTTTTGGGTCAACCTGAAATATGAACATCTTCCCAGTTTCTGTTTCCACTGCGGCCGGGTCGGACATCTGCAGAGTGAATGCAGCTTCGAACCTCCAGCTAGGAAAGAGCGGTATGGAATCCACATGATAACCAAGAAGCAAGGTCGGAAAATCTATGATCAGGAGGACAATCACCAGCCTCATGGGGGTACTAGGAGAACCGTCTGGGTTAATCAAGAGGTTCGGGGGAAGTCGGGGAATGCCGATTCGGCGGGGAGGGAGCAAGCCCCGCAGTCGGAGAGTGCTCCTCGACCTGCTCAACCGCCAATTGTCCGCCGCAGCAAGGGGGACTCTGTTCGTCGTGCCCAATTGGACTCGCGAGGCCAAACTCCCTGGGTGCGCCCGAACTCCTCGACCCACCAGGATAGTCCTAGGGGATTCAGAATGTCGAAATCCCCGAGAGTTAAAGCGCTGCAGGGACCGAGAAAGCGAGCTGGGCAGCCACGCAATGCGAGGGTTCATGCTCCCACCATGGAAGGGCTGCCGAGTGCAGATGTCGCGGGACTAGAGGATGATGACACGAGGACCGCCGATGATCGCTCGATGACGTCTGATACTCAGATGGGGACGGTGGAAGTAGGTCGGCGGCGGAGGATAATCCTCCTGGAGGACAGTGAGGATGACTTCGTGTTTCAGGGAGTTACTTCCCAAACTAAGGAGGGCACACAAAGCCCACCGCAAGAGCAGCCCATGGAAAATCTGAACACAGTTCCTTTGCCATTTGCTGCTGAGACTGGGCTGAAAAATCAATCTGGGCCTAATGAAGAGGCTGAACATGGGCTACAAAGCCTCAGTGGGCCTCGGTCAAAGGCAACTAAACCCAGGCAGCGGGCCTCTAAGCCTCGTCGGGCTGCCACAGAAGAGGCCTCGTCTGACCGCAAGCTGAAGGGCCGGGCTGGGCCGGATGATGGGCCGAAGCCCACGCCGAGGCTGTCCAAACTTAAGAAGGCGGCCCGGGCTCCTCGGGCAGCGGCTGTAGCGGTTTCCAGGCCGGGAATAGGCTCTGCAGGCCCGACTCGGAACGGGAGGACGAAGTTGGCCCATCCTAAGTCTTCAAAGCCCACTGGAGCATCTCTTCCTGGCCCTACAACGGAGAATCGGACGCCGGGTTTGAGTGGATCGGCCCTGATGGATTCATCCTCTGAGGCTGATGATCACTCATTTGAACTGAAGCAAAGATCGCCTGTTCTGGCTGGGCCAGGAAATCGTGGTGGAGGGAAGGGCCAGGTTCGCCAAGTGGTTTCCGCTTTGAGTCTGGCCTAGTCCTGGGCGATGGGATAGCGACAGCGAATCTACAAGGTGTCCAGGAGAAGGGTATGTTGGTGGAAGCAGAGATTGATGAATATGGCTCGAACATTCCTGGTATGTCAAATGAGGGACGCAAAAGGCCTCTGGAGGAGGTGGAAGGTGAAGTGGGAGAGGTTCCCACGCCGAAGAAACAATTCGTAGAAGTTGCTGATGATAAGGTGGAGGAAGCCAGCCTGGAGTGGCCCCAAGCAGATAAATGAGGCTGTTGGCCTGGAATGTGAGAGGAATTGGGCCATCCCTCACGTTCCAAACTGCTGTAGGGTTAGTTTATTCGAATAAACCGGACCTTGTTTTCTTCTCAGAAACAAGATCGCGCCGGAGAGTTGTTTCCCGTCGTATGCGGGGTTTAGGTTTCCATTTGTCGCATTGTTTTTTTGTGGATGCTGTCGAGGCATCAGGAGGTCTTGTAGTTGGCTGGGTCCCCGGAGTTGATGCTTCGGTTATTTATCATTCAATTTTTTGCATTTGTACTCGTATTAATGAAAGGGATTTTTCCTATGTGGTGGTGTTTGTTTACTTTAGTTGTGTTGAAGCAATTCGTACTAGCCAGTTGGCTCAGCTTCGGGCTGTTTGTGATTCTTTTGATATTCCTTTTGTGGTTATGGGGGATTTCAATGTTACTCTTCAGGCTAGTGAAAAGGACGGGGGTGCCAACCAAGCGGCCGGGCTCCGGAACTTTATTTATGACCTAGGTCAACTTGACCTAGGATTTCAGGGAGACCCGTTCACGTGGACCAATAAACGGATGGGGAATGCCTGCATTAGGGAACGCTTAGATAGAGCTCTCTGCTCTCAATATTGGA